AGCTTCTGGTGACATGCCTTGATTAATCAATCCAAATTTCCAGCTTCTATCTCAAGCCTACAGATTTCTTAAAACATTCATTTCACTGGTTTCACCTGTCTTTCTAAGACCTTGTTTTCTAATGCAGCGGTTCTCCAAGCCTGGTGCCCAGATCAGCAAAGGTCAGCATCACCTAGAACTTGGTTAGAAATGCAAATTCTGGGGCCCCAACCTGAACTGTAAACGCTTGGAATTTCACCCGATACAGACTCAAGGTTGACAGCCACAGTTCTAAACACACCCAGGACCTTGGGGACTGGAGAGGGGATGTAAAATGCAGAGCCTGAGAATGATCTGGGTTTTTCTGTGCCACCAGCCTGGGAGGGGCTGGATGACCCACCTGGGAGTCCACCCAGGCTGGTCTGTCCCGTGCCTTCTCAGGTGGTTTCTGGAAGGGTCCACTGCGTGAGGGGAGAGGCGCTCCCATGGGTCCCTGAGCTAGACTCATTTTCTCCCCCAAAGCGGACAGGCTGGGAGGCTTAGCTTCGCAGCCTCAGGGCTGGCTTTGGGGTTGTACTGGCCTTGGTCTTGCAAGTGAGAGATAGGGGACTCCTGGGACCATTCCGCTCCAGAGCCAGAAGGTGGCCACTCCCATCCCAGCCGGGGCGGGTGCCTTTCTACGCCGACAGCTGCGTCAGGTGGCTGTGGGAGGGGAGCAATAAACAGCCCGGGACGCGGAAGGACGCGGGAGCGGCCCGGAGGGCGGCGGGCGCGGGCACATGGGGTCTCCGGTGCTGGCCGGGCCCGCACTCCCGCTGCTGCTGCTGCTGGTGCTGCTGCCGCCAGGCCCTGCCCGCGGCGCCGCGCGCTTCGACCCCACCTGGAAGTCCCTGGACGCCCGCCCGCTGCCCGCCTGGTTCGACAAGGCCAAGTTCGGCATCTTCATACACTGGGGCGTGTATTCCGTGCCCAGCTTCGGGAGCGAGTGGTTCTGGTGAGCGCGCCTCCCTGCGTCTCCTCTGGCCCGGCGTCGGTTCCCCGCCCCCACCTCGCCGCCTCGGCGGGTTGCTTGCGCCCCCTCGGCCGTTTCGCGTCCCGCTGTTTCAACCGCGTTTGTAGTTCCGGGTGTTAACTGTATCGTTTATTGTGTAAGTGGTTCGAGCTGGATGGACCCTGACTTCTTCCTGCGAGTGACTCAAGAGTTGTCGGACGCTTACTGCGGCTCTGGCTTCTCGGCTGCTTGGTAGTTGCACTTACCAAGTCGGGGCTATCGCTCTGTAGCCACCGAGTGACTAAAGCAGCAGAAAGTAAGGACTTGTGTGGGGTCATACGTGAAGCGTGGGCCTCAGCTGCCGTCCTTAGAGATTCGGAGGCGATGTCTCTTCGCCCTTTTGCAGCTGTCAGTTTTCAGTTGTTTTGCCATGATTCATGGATATGAGAAACTTCTGTGCATTTGGGCATCCATAGGCTCTTTAACGTTAAAATGTTACCATCTGTGGTTCAAGGAACAATTTTTTTTAAAGTTCTAGAATGTTAACACTAAAAACAAAACAAAACAAAACAACCTAATTATTAATAGACTACTACGTGAAAAGTGCTACACACAAAAATTGCTCTTTAGATTTTCCCTTGAGATCTATGTACAAATGTGCAGGTAACACCTTACAACTTTGAACTGTCTCACATCCCTTTCCTGATTTAACACTTGAAGTATTTGAAGTTCTTTGAGACAGAAATGTTATTTTATATACCTTTATGTACACATACACACACATAGTACTATGTATAATACATTCCTAAGTAAAATAAGAAAATAAACAGTACTGTCAATTGAAAAAAAAATGCACAGTGTGAGAACTGTGAGTTAGGCTTTATTTGGGGCAAAACGAGGACTGTTGCCTAGGAGACAGCCGCTCAGATCGTTCTGAGGAGCTGCTCCACAGAGGTGGTGGGGAGGTCCGTGTGCGTGTGACTTTGGTGAAGGGGGCACTTGTAGTCAAGCACACACTTTGGCAGAGGGTTGCTGCTACTTACATGAAGGTTGCTGCTAGTCACAAGGAGCAGATTTCTCTGGTAATGACCTCTAGGTATGAGAAGATGCAAGAAACCAGGCTCATAAAATCTCCTCCTGAAAATATCCAACAATCTGAAGTGCTGTTCTACCAGTTTTTCCCAGAGCACACAGAATGCCTCATTTCTGATCTCCACCCTGTCCCTTCTGGGTGTGTTGAAGGTCAGTGACTACTGCAGTGGCTGGTGACTTCTTCCTTGTAGAACCAGATGGCAAGTGACAATTTTTAGTTGGCAAATATGGGTATAAACCATATATTGTATTAACATCACGCTGTATATATTGTACTGCTTTCTACAAAGAGTGACTTTCTGTAAAATAACTTTTCTTACTCAGTTAAGCCAGTTGATGTAAAAGAACTGTATATACTTTGTTGAAATTTTGTACAAGTTTGAAGAACGTATACAAGGGACTCTTTCCTCCCATAACGTGTATTACCAAACATATTTGCTTCAGGATGTTATAAATCTTTCTTTGCGAGTTTTGTGCTGTAAGGCATTTTAAGTTTATTTTTGAAATGTTTCAGATTAGCTAGGTAAATAAATTTGCAGATTTTCTTTGTCTTATATTAAGATAGAATAGAATATATTTTAAATTATCATTTTGTTCAGCTGTGAAGGGTAGGTAAATACCCATTTGGTTCTGGAAGATAATTTGATGTTTGTTAACTGAAATTAGTGCTCTGCCCAAAACAGCTAGTTTTGAGTCATATTATTCTTTGCAGTGGTTAACTTTTCAATTTCTACAAATGAACACAAAGTTGTTTTGACCTAGATCAATGAAGATAATTTTCATGCAAAAGAGAGTGTATTTCTGATGGTCTGGAATTGCATTAACCCAATGGAAGATTCTTTATTTATGGTGTCCCTTTGTGTCCTGTCTAAACCTCTGCTCCCCATCCCAATTTGACTCGGGAGAATCAATAGTAGAGATGAGTATATCTGACTGTCCTTAATGGCAATTCAAACCCAAATATAAATGATGGACTGTTTACTGTAAGTGCCTCTTCTCATCTCTATTAGTATGAAATTTGAGAAGTGACTCTAGACCATAATAGAGAATGCAGGTTCAAATTAGACTCTATTAAGAAAAAATAGAACTCCCTTATCACTTTGACTGTCCCAGTTTCTCCTTTATAGTTCAATTTAAAAGATAAAAATGCATCATAGATCAACTAGGAAACTTTCACTTTGAAGCACAGAAAACCCAAATAAAAGATATAATAATAGGGGCTTGTTACTATACATAATGACGAATTTAGAGGTAGGTGGCTCATGGATGAAATCAAAGACGTGGGCTCTTCTGTCATTCTCAGCCTGTAGACTCGTCTCGTCATGGTCATGTGTTGGTGGCCAAGCATCACTTTACACAACCTTGTCCAAAAACATGTTGTATCTCTCTCTATTAGAGAAGAAACCATTCCCAGAATCTCCCAAGTTGGCTTCCCCTCAAGTTCCATTGGCCAGCATGGGTTGGGTGTCCATGTGGTAGCTGTGATGGAAGCTGGGAAAGTATGTGTCTGACTTTTGGGCAGACATATTAATGTCCTTCAGTGAAGTCTTCTCAGCAGGAAGAACCTCCTAATCATCTTTGAGGAAGCAGTGCCCGTTATGAATTTGCTCATCCCATAGACACTCTTATGAAAGGAGTGGTGGAAGGAAAAGTAGAAGGTGAGTCAGAGATGGTGCTTGCATCTATTTCACGAGGACAGGATTACTGCTACATGTATCTATAATGTTTATCTAAAAATTGTGTTTTCGGTGTAGTTTTCCTCCTGAAGCTTTGCTTAGGCAGTTTAGGCCCCATTGTTCAGAATAAATGCACATAACAAGAATTTTTTGAAGGCTGAATCAATATAGTCAATAACAGCATCTTCTTAATTTTACTGTCATCTCCTCCCCCACTTGTTCTCTGCTGGTAAATATAATAAATTTGTGTTATGTTTTATGCACTTCATCTTCCTTTTGAAGCCTTACGTTACAAAGGACTAATTATGTAAAGATACTACATGCTGCAATTTAAAAATGAAGAATTAAGAGCAAATGGGTGGTTGGGTTGTCTAGAATGTTCTGGTTAATGAGTTGAGTGGCGTTTACAGAGGGAAAAGTGGAAAACTACAAAAGTTTATATAAATTTTCTTTAAGGTGAAGTCAGACTAATTGGGAAAGTGAGGAAGAGAATCTTGGTAATATCTGAGTGTGGGGATTTAGTAAAGGAAGCTGAGGAAGTTACAGTTGACCCTGAACAACATAAGTTTGGCCCACTTTTATGTGGATATTTTTTCAATGAATATACAATTGGCTGTCTGTATTTGAGGGTTTCACATCCCTGGATTCAACCAACTTCGGATGGAAATTTTCTATCCATGGTTGGTTGAATCCACATATGCCAGGACTGTGAATATGGAGGGTTTACTGTGGAATGCCATTTAATATAAGGGAATTGAGCATCCACAGATTTTGGTATCTCCTGGGGCTCCTAGAACTGTTAGTGGAAAGAGGGGCCTCTAAATTGGGAAGTCCACCAAAGTGTGGGTCCTTGCCGCTGGCTGTGAAAGAATTCATACAGCAGAGGCAGAGGGACAAAGTGAACAGCTGCTTTATTGCTCAGAAGAGGAAAAGGAAAGAAAGATGCTCCAGTGAGGAAAAGGCAATCAAGCAGGGAGCCATCAGCCAAGATGGTCAGTGAAGACAGCTCCAGCTGTGGCTTGGGCCATGTGGACTTTTATGGGAGGCTTCGGCCAGCTGGAACCAATCATCTTTCTTTTCTGTCTTTGTACGTGGGCTTTTCTGGTTATTGTCATGGCAGTTGTCAACTGTCATGGCACTGGCGTGTCACTTAGCATGCAAATGAATTACAATGATGGTATAATGAGGCTCAAGGTCCACTGGAAGTCAAATCCTCCACCATCTTGGGCTTCACTGGTTCTAACCAGTTCTTGTATCTTCTCTTTGCAGCTGCCTCCAGAGACTTAGATAAGAGTAACTGGTTTATTTTCAAGGGAGGGCGGGGGTATGGTCCTGGGGCCACAGCCTTGGTAACCAGGACCCTGCTCCAGGGCTGCACTAGTGTTTCTTGATTGTTCCTCCCTTGTTTCTGCATTTCCTTTCTTCTCTGATTAGCAACTGTTTGAATCTGCCCTTTGGAACTCAGGGAAGGTCAAGGAGGCTGAATGAAGCCTATAAACTTCGAACAAGAAGTGGGGAACATGGAAAGATTTGTTCCAGAGAAGACCCTACAGGGTCCTCCTTGGTATCAGAACCATTTCTCCCATGGATACCAAGGGATGACTATACTTTAAATGCTATTATACTTTAAATATGCTATTTATGTGCTGTTTCCTTCCTCTTAGGTGGTATTTGCGAGAGAAAAAGATACCAAAGTACGTGGAATTTATGAAAAATAATTACCCTCCTGATTTCATATATGAAGATTTTGGACCACTATTTACAGCAAAATTTTTTGATGCGAACCAGTGGGCTGATATTTTACAGGCTTCTGGTGCCAAATATGTTGTCTTAACTTCCAAACATCACGAAGGTAAGTACAGCGTTTGCAAACATTGACAGTGGTTATGAATTGTAAAAGTAGTTCTTTTGGAAGAAGAAACTAAAGCAAGGTCATCCACATGAAATCAGAATTTTCTCTTAGGAGCAACCATAAGTGGCTACTGATATTTTGCTTATAATTTAAGAGACCACACACATGTTCCACCCAATTAAGTAGCATCAAGTATGCAGAAAGATCATACCCACCACAAAACAGAGAAAAAATGAAAACGGGTCACATTTTGTTATATGCATATTTAACAATTTTCAAAGAATCCAAGATTTGATTAAAGCTATTTGAAGTGGGATGTGGGTTGTAGGTCAGTTTCCATTTGGAATTGCACTCTTTCCTCTCATTCCACCTCTGTAATGTATTCTGAGAAGGCACCATGGGAGTTATTCCGCTGTATTCTTGCATCATGACCTATACACATGGTTGTGCTTTTGGTTAACTCTTACATGGCCCAATGCCTCCAATTTGCTACAGCTTGCTACCAATGAAAATAACATGGGTCACCTGGAAGGAACAGGATTTTAGAACTGTAATGGTGCTCAGAAATATCAGAGATGGTGGAAGAATATCTAAAGGAAACACAGTGGTTGTATTAGGGTTCTCCAGAGAGACGGAACTAATAGGAAGTATAATATGTAGAAAGAGATTTATTATAAGAAATTGGCCTCTACATAATGGAGGCTGAGAATTTCAGACCCAAGAGAGCCAAAGGTTTAGTTCTAGTCTGAGTCCGAAGGCCTGAGAACCAGGAGACTGAATGATTTAGGTTCTTGTTCAAGTCTGAGTCCAAAGGCAGGAGAAGATTGATGTCTCACCTCAAAGATGTGCAGAGAGAAAAAATTCTCGCTTAATCAGCCTTTTATTCTATTCAGCCCTTCAGTGGATTGGATGAGGTCCACTCACATTGGGAAGAGCAATCTGCTTGTGCAGTCTACCTATTCCAATGTTAATTTCATCTAGAAACACCTTCAGGAACACACCCTGAAGATTGTTTAACCAAATATCTGGGCACCCAGTGGCCCAGTGAAGTTGACACATAAAATTAACCATCATAGTGATCTTACATTAATAGGATAGATTCCACCCATTACCATTCCTGTATCTACAAGATCAAGGAAGCATCAGCAAATTGTTATTGTTCAAACAGCATGTCGATTACACCATTTCCTTTGTATAACCATATTACCTTGGTATAAAAAATTTTGCCTCATTGTTTTCTCCAGAAGTGGGGAGGGGATTAAGAGGGAGAACCAAAACCCCAAATAAGAAATTGTCTTTTCCCTTTGGCCTCATTTTTCCCTTTGGCCTCATTCTGGTGGCTTAATGATTTTCTGCTATAGATGTTTTTCAGGCTGAGATGGATATTTATGAAGCATATTTCCTTGTGAACATGTTGATTTCCTGATGTCTAGGAACTTCTCCAAGCTGCAGGGCACAAAGTATTACATAGTGAGCTTATTTAAAAACAAAACAAAACAACTCTTAATCACACTGTGAGGACAGATGATGTAGCCTACATTTATAAACTTTCTAGGACCCATGTTGTCAGATGTTTTCATGCTTATGGAAGAGACCCCGCTGAGCCCAGTTAGCCAGGAAGACCACTGTGTGAGCTTCTAGTGGTGCTACTGAACCGAATACCCGTGTGGTTTTAGCGCCGCCAGGCATTAGGTCCTGTCAAGTTGAAACATTTTGAATGAGACTTTAAATATCAATACTGCTTTGAAGTTTATTACAAATATCTTTGAAACCAGTGTGAGCTGTTTTAAAAGCTTCTTAAAAATGAGTCTCAATAGTATATCCATCTTAATCATGTCCTAATTTACAAGAATAAACTGTTTCACTGAAGGCACCTCATGTATGTCTGTTCTCAAAGATTCTTTTAGATTTCAGTGGGGCAGTAACAATGTACTTATGTTCTTAGGCACTAACTAAAAATTTTGAGACTTGTATTGTTTATTTATTGCATCTATGGTTTTTATTTAGAACAACCAGCAATCTAAGTGCAAATTCCTTTTATTTTATT